TGTCAGTCTAGGCCTGCTCTGGCCCAGAAAAGAGGTGAGCTGCCAGCTACAGATCCTACAATGAGCCCATGTCTTCACTGCTCAGTGATTCCCTTGTGCAGCAGAAATGTTGGACATCTGTTGCCAGCCAGAAAAAAAAAACCCCAAACCCTTGGAATGTGAGTATGAAATGCACTGTCTGAATCAATGAATCAAAGTTGCCACAATCCTAATTTACTGCATATGAGATGTTTAGACCAGCAGGGCTGTCCTGGCCTTTGCTAATATAACATGTTGCAGAGCATCTCCCTGTATTGTATGACAGGAGATGAGTGAATGTATGTAAGGCAAAATGCCAGCAGAGGATTTCCAGTGCTGCTGGGAGGGTGTTTGCCAGAGAAGAATGGCTGGATGACACTGAGGATGTATCAAGCCCCAAACTGCAGGGGGAAATAAAAAGACAGGAGTTATTTACATAGTGGTCGTTGCAATTGGACTTGGAGGAGTTTCCTTCCTGACCCCAAATCTGGCATTTGGTCTAATTTTGCATGGGTGAGGAAAAACAAACTGACTGACTGACTATGTGGAAGGCTTCTCAGTGCTGGGAGGAATTCCCTGCTTCCTCATCCCCCTTCCAGCTCATCTGTACTAAATACTGATCTCCGTTCTTTCTATCCAAGGTGAAGTGCTTTGGGTGCCCAAGCTCATGGGTAAGAAGGAAAACATCTCTTGTGGCCCATATCATAGCTGGAGCAAGTCAGAGAAAAGTCCATTATTGTGTCTTCTGCCTGTAAGGGATGAGAGAGAGCATCATTAGGAAGGGTGACAGCACAGGGTTTTCATTAGGCAGAAGGAAGGTTTCATGCAAAGCCAAGTTACTTTCATTGCTATGGAGCCTTCATGGCACTCTAGTTCTTGGGTGTGGGCTCAGTCCCCCCCATTGAGACTTGTTTATTCCAGAGCTCAGTAGGTTTCTGGGAAGTGCTGTAATAGCTGGGAGGAGATCCCATGGAGAGGGTGGATTCTCTCGGACACATGCTGTTTAACAATGCCACTGTCTGCAGAGAAACAGAAAATAAACAATGCAGAATCCCTGCCGTAAACCATGCACAAACACCAGAATATGAATAGCCTCTTGGAAGGTGGCTAGTGCCAAGCAGCTTTGCTGCTATTGTTTATTGTGGTAGAGGAACTAGAACTAGCTTTTCAAAATAGGTCAATATTGCCTATTCATAATGGGTTAATGGTTTCTGCAGCTGAAACTGAAGTATAATGGTTCCTGGTGAAATGGGGGAAACATCTGTAGAAAGCAAATTTGGAAGCAGTAAAAACTGCAATGAATTAATTTTGTTTTATTCAGACATCTTGGGCAAGGAGAATGAAGGCCTTGTTTGGATAGCTGTTGCAATTGCAGGCAATAAAGGCTGAGAAATTGTCTCTGAGGACTGATCATTGAAGCACCAGGCAAGAGAAGCAGGTGAAAGCAGTCAGGTGGGAGCAAAGGCGTAGCTGGAGTGGCTCTGAGGGTGGGTTCCTTCCAGCTCAGAGTATTCTGGGATTCTGTGTCACTGAGTACTGTGAGTGGCTCTGCAGGGTAAATTGGATGGTGCTGAGAACAGAAGGTCAGTGCTGTTGGCATTTCTGGGGGTGTTTTCCTCTGGATTAGCTCTACTCTCTTGGGATTGGATGTGGACATCTGGAGTATGATATGCTCTGGCATGTATTTCTGTCTGGCTTCATCTGAAAGGAGCCTCTCTTGCACCCTCCAAGATCACCTTGTGAAGTGAACCAAAGTGCAGTAAGTGAGGATGAGCTGGAGATCGGCTTCAAAACCCCATTTGTCTGAATGCACATGCTTGTTTGGTATCTCTAGGCATGCTGACATGTGTTGAAGGATGGATGTAGGTCCTGGGGCATGCCAGCTGCACATCTGTAAAGCCCAAAAGCATATGTTTGAGCCAAAAGAGTGTGCAGAGTGCCTTGTTGCTGCCTATTGTCTCTTGTGTTTATTCTTTGTGTGTGGGTCAGCTGAGAGGGGGTTGTTTTATTCTTCTGTCCACAAGTTTTGGGCAAACCAGGGAATCCATGGCTTTTGGAAAGCAGCTCCCTGAACTTTTGACAAGGCCACTGAAACTTATTTGTGGCCTCTGGGGAAGGATTGCAGGTGTTTAGCAGTGAGCCTATGCACACTCAGTGCCTCTGGTAGTGACTCTCATTTACCCTCTACTCATCCATCCAGCCATTTGCAAGGACACTTCATGCTGAAAGCAGAGAAGCAGCTGCTGTGTCTTTGAGTGAACTGGAGACAACGGCCTTCCCCAGAGGAGCCAGGTCACTCTAAAATAAGATAAACACCACCTATGCTAATTGCAGTGGAAAACTGAGAGCAGCTTGTATTGGGCTGCTGTGTGTTGTCCCTAACTAGGGATTATGCAGAGCAGCTGGGTTCCAGAAGGGCTTTGGAAAAAAAAGATGCTCAGAAGGGAACAGTGTCTCCTGTGCTGAGGGGCAGTTTTCAGGTGTGGGTTTGTTTTTTGGGTTTTTTTAGGTTATATTTTTAGGAGCTGTTGGTATCTGCATTTAGGTTGTGAGCCCTGGAGCTTATTTTCTATTCACAAATGCATTCTGTAGCGAAGATCAGTTTGTCAGCACTCTTTTTGTTGTTTTTTTTTTTTTTTTTTCCTCCTAACATATGACCCACTCTGGGTCACATGAAGGAGATGTGGATGGTATGTGACAGGAGAGAGGCTGCAGTCTGCAGCTGACTCCAGCAGGGCTTGGTACTTGGAACATGCCCAAGTGCAGCATCTCCTGCTCCAGCCCCGTGGACCAGGGCAGCTGGACACAGCACAGGGTAAGTTGTGTATCTGGGACACCTCTGAGGTGGATGGGGTCTGTATTTTAGTGAAGTGTGACATGTTGGACATTCAGCACCTCCTGCCCCAGCTACTGACATGCTTAGCCAGAATAAACCCCAAGGGGTTATTCAGAGGTGAGTGAAACAAGATCATTTTCCCTGAACAGCACAACGTAGCCTTCTGCATCAGGGGCTGGCGAGTACAGTGGCAGTGACTTCCAGCAGGTACCAGTTGGGTTAGGTCCTAAACTTAATAGTAAGAAGTTCTCAAAGCTTAGTGCTGCACCTTAGAGCTCTTTAGCTCCTCTCTAGCAGCAGGCACTGTAGTGATTAAAGCTCTGAGATTGAATATATAAATGCCTGCAGCTGCTGGAGCCATTCCTTAGGTCAGATTTTCACTGCCTGGTTCAAGGTTACAATTCTGTCAGTGATTTCCACTGAGCATTATCCCAAGGCACATGAGTGTTGCCAGGGTTTGTGCCATTCTTGCCAAACCATGTCTGCATTGGCCCCATTGCAAACCAGGTCCTGAAAGGAAAGGAGCAAAAATCATGGGGACCTTTTTGGGCCTGACCTGCAAACGTGGTGGTACATTCTGTTTGTTCTGCAAGCTCTCCAGCAATGAAGAACGCAAATACCAGTCTGGAAATAGCTTGTCTTGACTCTCCAGTCTTGTTAGAGTGCAGACTAATACTGCTTGCTCTGCTGCAGTTGTGCTCTGAGCTTGTCTGCCAAGGACAACCATCCTTGTGTTTCAAGAAAGCCATGGTAAACCAGAGCAATGTACCCTTAAAATCATTCTAGACAAGCTTTTGAAAGCTTAAGAATTAAGGAAGCCTGGATGGATAAGAGAATAAAAAATTCTTGAAGGATTATCTGGCCTCACAGAACAGACCAAATTCTAGCTATTTTAGGAGCTGATATTTCCAGATTATTCTTTTAGGTACCCCTTCACTGAATTCTTAGGCAAGCCTAACAGTCTGCTGCATAGAATACCTTGAAGAATTAGGGAAATTTTATCTCTTCTCAAACACCAGGGAAGTGAGACATATGGAGACTAAAATCCACATCCTCAAAGGAATGTAGATTTGTCATTTGCACTGGAAAGTGGTGGAGATAACCCTGAGGAAATCCTGCTATGGTTAAGCTGATTGACTTTTCTGGTATATAGGCATGTAATTGATTATCTTGGAGGCTCTGGGTCTAAGCATTTTCCTTAGATGGTGTCTGTAGGGGAGGACAGAAATGAGCCTGTGTTTCCTGAGCCAGTCTTCCCTCAGTTGCTTCTCTGAGTCCCTGCTGCTGCCTGTGATGATGTTTCTTACCCTTGCCTCTGAAACAGCTGATCTGAGCTCTGTGGTGTGGAAGCCAGGTGGGCTTCTATTTTTTGGTGAAGGTATTACAGGCATGGTCTTTCAGACTCAAAACACGAGACCCTTCTCCTCCTGTTATCCCCCTGTTTTCAGCTGTGCAGTCTGGAGTGCCTGGACTGGCCTCACCTCTCCTTGCCTCACTTTGCACAAACAGCCACGAATTTTTGAAAAGGGCCTTGGTTTGCTCTGCCAGCACGGCTTAATTCTGCCTTTCCTCCTTGCAAGCCACACTGAAGCAGCACTTTGCTATTCTCCGGGAGGGAAAAAAAAATAAAGTAGGTCATGGTGTCATGTAAGGCAGCTGAGCGCTAACATGGCGAGCGCAGAGAAAAAAAAAGTCTCAGTGGGCTCGGGGATGATGAATGAGCAGCTGTGCGGGATAAACAGGGATGGATGGATGGATGGATGGATGGATGGGTGGGGAGCGAGGCAGGTGGAGGCTCCGCTCCGGGGCTGGGGGCTCCGCTGGACCATGCGCCCTCTCCCGGCACAGGTGCTCCCTCTGGAACGGCTCTCCTTGCTCTTACAAGCAATGCTGATGTTTGGTTTCAGGCCTTTTTCTATGGTTTTCTTCCCCTCGCCCGGCAGTTCAGTCCAAATAGTACTCACAAAAAGCATGGAACAGGCATGGGAAATCACTCTTAGCAGACTAAAAAAAAATCTTTGGTTGCAAAAAATTTTAAAATTGTTTTTTAAACCTCTTTATAGATTAGAGTCCCCTTGTTTATATCACTTGTGTTTTGAAAGAAGGAGGGGGTTTTATGCCTGTTGGTCTCTTGATTCTCCTGCAGCATTACTCACTGGGCCTGGAATAGGTCTCATTGGAAGATGGACTCAAGCCTGGCCTTATCTCTGAGGCAGGATTTCACCCTAGTGTTTAAAGGGAGAAATTCAGGTCTGGAGATGTGGCTTATCCCTGTAAGCATCCCTTAACTTGAAATGCAGATTACAGTTTGGTGTGGATGATGAGCTCTGCTACATCCCTAATTTAGCATTTCAACCTATTAAAGAAACACACAAATTAAAACAACCAAAACCAAGGGTGAGAATAAAACTCCAAAGACAAAAACATTTCAGTGGGTGCCCGCTGAGAGAGCTTGGGGTAATCTTGCTGTGGTCCTGTAGATACAGGGACTGATTTTGACTCTCACCAGCCTGTTATGGCATCACTGTTGTCACTCAAGACAAATTCACTTTGGATTTGTCCTGGGTCAACACATGTTGCAGGGCTCCCAATCCTCCAAAACACATATGCAGCAAGGGCAACTTACTTCTTCCCCAGGTCTCAACTCCCAACCTCAGAACTGGGGTGGGAGCCCACTGGGAGGAAGTGATCCTGGATTAAGAAGCTCAAACTGTCAAAGCTTAGAAGTGAGGGTTCTCTTAAAATGTGGAAGACTTGAGACTTTTTTTTTTTTTTTTTCTGTAACCCTGTTCAGACAAACCAAGTTTTCTGTATAGGGCTGGCATTTAAATCCTGCTCATATCCCCCATCCTCTGGCTATAAATGCCTCTTCAGCCACTTGAGGCAAACCTTCCCTTGTATGCAGTTTTTGGGGGATGAAGCTGTCATGTTTAACATGCTGAAATATTCTTGTATTTTTTCCCCACTCCGTCCTTGTGTCAAACAGGGTTGGTGGAGCAGAGCTGGGCAGTATCCTAGTGTTGTCAACATTTGCTGCCTGAGCTGCAGAGAAGCCAGTGCTAAAGTCCTGTCTGAATGTTTCTTGAAACCTTCATCTTTTCCTGTTCTTCAGCCAATTTACTTCTGCAAATGCTTGGAAATGCTGGTGAGTGGTTGAAGCAAGAAGTCTCCAGTCTAACCAAGGTTTTCTGCTGCTGCTGGCTCTGCAGAAGAGATTTTAAGGTCAGTTTTAAAATAGTTCTGCCTAGAAAGAGCTGGTTCAGGAGGATGGCACTAATATGTATGCACAGTCCAGAGGTCTGCAGCCAGTTGTTCCTGTAGACAGCCTGTGCTGGTGTTTGAGCTGAGCCATGGTATGCAGAGAGCCCTTGTGTCCAGAGTGAGAGTCTCAGCAGTGCCAAGGGCCAATTACCCCTTCCCTGTGAAAAGTAAGTGTCCTGTTTACTGTTTGAACTGGCTGACTGGAAATTCCAGCTTTAGTCTGTGCTTCTAAAAGATTTTGGTTCCAGGGATCTTTGAATACTAATCAGACACCAACAAGCCTTCCTGGTGCCCCTAGAATGCTGCTTGGTGAGGAGGATACCCCTGCTTAGGAAAAGGGGCCACAAGAAGTGAGGGGGGTGTCTGCCCATCCCAGCCCCCGTGCTGGTGCTCCTGGCTCCTGCTGCCATGCTTGAGGCACATGTGACAGCCCTGTGCCTCCTCTCACAAAGGCGCTGCTTGTCCTGCACTCACCAGCCTGTTTATGAGCGGAAACTGAGTCAGCACAGGGTGCTCACCAGTGCAGGCCACTACTGCTTCTCCTACCCACTAGGTGTGAGCTTGGAAAACAGTTTGAAACAGAAGCATAAAATGGGCTTTGTTGAAATGTGTTAGCTCACCTGGAGTCTCCTCCAGAACCTGAGTGTGTATTTTTGGAAGCAGAATAACCCAACTTTACAACGTGCAGTATTTGGAAGCACAGCACAATTACGTGGCTGTTCCAGCCCCTGTGAGACTGGGAGATGAAAATAATGGTTTTTGAGGTAGTGAGTGGGGTGGAGAAAGCCTTTGGGAAGCAGCAGTAGATTAAATGGCATCAAAGCATTGCTGGTGTTCATTTACTTGCATGAAAGTCTTTAGGTCTTCTAATAGGCTCTCCCTAATTATTTGCAAGGCAATAAATCCAATCAGAATACTGAAAGACATTCACCCAGACCAAGAATTGTATTTTAGCATTCCTCCTAGTACATTGTTATTAATCATGTTTAGAAGGTTGGCTGGTGCCACTTGTTTTCCCCCATTTTGTGTTTGTGGTGATCAGCAGGTATCCTGATAACCAGAGCTTCAGCATTTCAGAGCCAAATTTGTGCCAAATAGTGTCTCTTTTCTAATTTCTTTCCTCCCTTACTCTTTAAATACTAAGAGTTGTAACAAAGCCTGCTGTCAACCTTTGGCTTGGATTCCAAATACTGACCCACATCCAAATTCTGCAATTGGTTCCATTTGTTACAATGGATGGAACTAATTCACTGGATCCAAGTACAATTAGATGAATCTAGATCATAATCCTGGGCACTGAATTTTTTAAAAAATGCTCATTTCCCTTTATCTTCTTCTTCCATTGACTGAAGGCTTTCCTCTTCAAAAATTTATTATGAGCCTCCTCAAAGTTCAGTGAAGCCTCTAAAGAGAGAGCATGGCAATCTGGGAGGGAACAGCTTGTCTTCCCATGCTTGCAGGACCAAAGCAGTGGAAATACATACTTGAGGGGACTTCCAAATAATTCTTTCTTCTAGTTTTGCCTTATATCCTGCCTCCATATTTTAACTCCCATCAGATTGTTTGATTACCTGCTTTGAATTTCTCTGTTGTGAACTGCACAGCAGTGGTTTTGTGCACTTTTCCACTAGACAGCAACTGAACCATTGCTTTGTGCTGCAGGTCCTGTTTGGTACCCTGTCAGTGCTGGGGATGCTCTGGGGCTAATCCTTCCAGCCTGGAATGGAAAGATGGAAAAGCTGCCTGTTCTGTGATCACTCTGGGTTAGGTGCTCTTTCTCCTGAGAGATGGATCCTCAGTCAACATCACCAGCACAAACTAGACACCCATGATGCAGATGCTGGAGCCTGGAAGAAAGTTTAGTTCTGTTTAAGTAGCATAATTTCATTTCAGGATTAAGCCCAATAGCACCCCAGAACTTTTAGATTAGTTACTGCCCTGCTAAAATAAAAAATTGAGTTCCTGGTGACCTGATGGTGAGACTGATATATTTTTTTTTTTTTTTTTTCCTGAGGACTGGTTCATAAAATAGGCCCCAAGGAAACAGGCCAGGAACACATGCTATTCAAAATACTTCCTCCAGAGACTAACTCATTTATTTTTCTCTTCCAAGGGTATTGTCAGGCTTGTGTACTTCAAAACAGATCTGGTACTGACAGTACAGATAAGTTAATGAAAGTCTGCAGAGTGTTTGGGGTTTTTGAATTTTTCCCCTTTAAACTAAGGGTATGATAAATTCTAATGAAACCCTATTTAAAATCTGGATTCTTTTTAACATCCCTTACTTGTAGTTCTGACGAGCTTTGCTAGCTTGTTCCACATCTTGAAGAACAGAGGATATTTTGAGTTGCTGTGTAGCAGCAGGAGAATGCACAAATCTTAAATTTCTGAAGAACCATGAGCTAGTTACTCATGCAGTGTCAGGAGAGTCATCTGTAATTCTTTTACTCGACAGAGTCCTGGGGAAACAGCTGGAGCATTGTGTACAATTTGCTGAGCACATTTCAGGGAAGATGTGGACAATGGGGAGATGCCAAAGGAGAACAGGGAGAACAATTGTAGATCTTAAAAGCATAACCTCAGACCAGGGAGGGCGGAAAAGCTGACTTAACCGTAATTAAAATAAAGTACAAAAAGAATTTTCAAAAAATGTAGAAAAACTCATGCAGAGAGGGAGAAGGACTCTGTTCTCCATAGCAATGGACATATGTTGGGAAATAATGCACTTAAATTGTAACAAGGAAGAATCATGTTGGATGCTTAGGAAACCTTCCCAGTGGTAGACATTGATGCAGTAGTTTGAAATATTTGGGAATGTCATGGGGCTCTTGTCACTAGAGGTTTTTAAGGTGAGGTTAGCCAAACATGTTAAAAATAACATACCTCATGCTCAGTTACCAGAAGTGACCAGTATTTGCTTAGAATTCTTTCTAATAACTGTGAAATGCATAATTCAAGCTTTTTGAATCATGGGAAACTTAGCCACCCTTATCATTGCAAACATTAGGATTTATAGTAGAGAAAAATCTGTTTTAAGCTAAACTACCTCCTCTATTGACTTGGATTGTGTTTGCAGATATCTCAGAGAATAAACCAGGCAAAGCTGCCTAAGGAGTTGAGGCCTGAGACCTCAGCTGAGATGGGTGCTTTGAAATCATGTAAGAGGAAGCAGAATTACTTAGCCAAAATGCAATTCTCATGATGTTTAGCCCACATTAACCCCAGAGGGAAATGTCAGCTGGTTTTCCCAACACTGATGCTTATTAGACCATGAAATATTTTTCCGCCTGGGAGATACTTAGAAGTGAATTGGACAAAGGGCTGGAAAATGTAGGGTCCTGTATGGTTTGGAGACAAGAAATTCCATTCAGTTGGGGCATCTGAACTGGGTTTAGTTTCCTATTTTGTCGCTGCTTTATTATGTCCTTGCATTGCTTTATTGTCAGTTGGGAAGAGCAGGAAGTGCTGAGATACTGACTGGAGGGTCTGAAGTGGTGGAGGACCTAATCCTACTCCTGCTTTCATATATGCTGTATGTACAGTTTAGCAGCAGTTAAAGTTTATTGCAAAATTGCAGACCATCAATCAGTCTCAGGCACTCTAACAAAATGCTGATATCTCAACTAATTCCCTGCTGTTTTGTTTTTAGAATGCAGTGTGGCATCTGTAGCAGCTGTATGGGGGTCATTTCCATCACTCACCTGTACAAGAGGCAGCAGTGAAATGAGAATGGTGTCTTTGCTTGCATGTTGGTCTAATGTAAGTCTTGAACTCTCCTTTGGTCCAGGAGGTAGTGGTGCCTGTTCTTTTGCATTACCTATGGAGATCTCTTCAGGAACTTACCCAGAGCCCTGATCTAAGAGTATTTTTTCCAAATGATGTGCAGTCTGGTATGATCTGGCTTTGTTTTTAATGCTTTTCAGAGAACAGCTTCAATTTTTGTTTGTTTTGCTTTTCTTTGTTTCTCATTATTCTGATGTAGAATACTCCACTCTGAAGCACACAGATTGATTGATTACTGTCATGGCTAACCAAGCAATGCTACTTAGCATGATTTTAT